AATAGAAAGCGGAATTGATGTTAAATAAAAATAAACAATGAGTAACAAAATGTAATTACGCAAATCATCAAACTGCATCACGATGCATGCCTTGACATGGGTTCCTGAAGGAAAGAGGAAAAGAGGAAGGCCAAAGAACACATTACGTCGGGAAATAGATGCAGATATGAAAAGGATGAATAACAGCTGAAAAGAGCTGCAAAGGATTTCCCATGACATGGTTGGATGGAGAATGCTGGTGAGCGATCTATGCTCCTTCACGAGGAGTAACAGTCGTTAGTAATTAAGTAATTTAATGACCACAATAAAACGTTCTCTTAAAACTCTAGAGATACATACAAATTTATAAAACTTATATGACATTATATATTACTGTATGTATACAACGTTTACTGTTTAGTATACTGTTCTTTTCCATACTATTTTTTCCTGAACTTTTGAGTTGTTATTAGGAATATGATTGTAGATAGATATTTGAAATCTTATAAGCAACTAGTCAGTGTTATTTATCATCATAGACAAACTATCCATTTTATTCATCTAGGAGGGAAGAGATGCAGATACATATTCATATATAGACACAAAGAGAAGTATAACAGCTCGATAATATTGTACCTAGCATATATAACATACGATGAACGGTTTATAAGGCTGAATTAAGAAAAACTTATGCACTTATATATATATATATATATATATATATATATATATATATATATATATATATATATATATATATATATATATATATATAGTGAGAAAATGTTGTATTTTGGGAATTCCACGCTGTACTGAACATCATGAATACAGTGGTCTTGAGTACTGTTAGAGGTATGAGAGCGGTTATCACTTCCCGGTTGCCCACATAGTGGAAGGATTCTTCTAGAGGTACATTAAAAGGAAATGGGGTTAGAGTTGATCTCAGAGACCTGAGAGCATGACCGCAGTGCCCAAGGGATAACTACTTGAGACCAGTCATATACTACCTTCTTGTGGGTGATCTTTGGACGTTTTTAGACCTCACAGACGGAGACGAAAATCCGTAGGATATGGTCAGGTGTGAAATTTTAGGGTCGACCTTTTCTAACCCCATCCCTCCTCGTGGGAAGGCAGCATCACTGTCATATTGGTTGTCTGAGAGAAACACCTTAGTGCCGTCATACCTCTGTAAAGTCAGCAGTACGACTTCACCTTTGGACCTTGGGTTTGCTGCTTTGTCTTACGGCTCTTCAGCCGATCTGTATGGCATGATAGGACTTTGAGGGACGATTGTTCCAGCCAGTATATCCCGACTCGTCCATTACGGTAGGCAAGCCTAACAACCACATCAAGGTAGCAGCAACGGTCGGGTGTACTGAGCATATTAAACTGATTAAGATAAATGTAACTTTGATTAGTAGCCTTAAAATCTTGATTTTGATCCTTGATGGGGTCGTCGATGCGCATATCTCAAAACAAGAGCTTTCCAGTTCGTTTGAGTCAGTATCACAAATTGAACTTCATTTTGTAATTTTTTATTCATCTCTACCCACATTAATAAAAGTTTTCGACTCTTAGGTTGAAAACATTTTCTTTCCACTGTCATTGCTCCTGGTACTTACTATGGATACCTTTGTTTGCTGGACTAACTACTAAACTTACTAAACCGAAACGCGTTTTTTTAACATTATCTATGTTAAGGAACGCGACTGATCATTCTCTCTTTAGCATATGTGCATTGTGTGAGAATTTACTGGATATTGCCACGTGGTCCGAAGTTTGGACTGGCATTTGTAATTGGCTAACGGTCGAATCCAATCCTATTCAGTACTCGTCATCTGGATGTATCTGTACTCCAGCGCTGATGTTCACTCTGCGAATTCACACCAACTCAAATTGACTTCGTCCGCGGTGCACAAGTTAGTGGTTATCAGGACTCAGTGAGTAACGCGATGAGTATGCAACGAAAGGTACCGGGTTAGAGCTTGGGTAATAACATCACGAGATACAAATACATCTAGATGACTACATGTGTATTGGATTCCACCTCTAGCTGATATCCAACCTCAGTTAAAACTGTATTTCTTTCAATAGATATTTAGGGATACCGATCCAAAATTAAAGAAAAGTAGTAGACTTTTTCCAGGTGAGTGGTTGAGAAGTTTAATGACCCATTAACAAATTGTTATCGTATTTTTAAGTTGGTTAGAGAATATATACACATGGAAAATAACAAACAACCAGGTTAAGTTTACTGATTAAACGTGAATTGTGAAGATAAGTGAGTGTAGCAGAAGATAAACAAATAGGGATAAAAATAAGAATCTAATATTTGTCCTAGATATCCAGGATACAACATTATTTGTTGTATTATAAGGTAGTTAAACGAAAAAAAGATGAGTAATGTAATGGCATGCTTCTCGATTGAACAACGTCACAGCTTAAGCAAAGAAATATATTGTCTCCGACCAAATGACTTCGCTGTCTTAGTTCGAGTGAAATATATTCGATAAGAAACTAAGAAAGCGTTTTACAAGTGACTTCATTTTATTGTTGTAAAGTAAACTGTCCACCCAAATAACTCAGCGACAGTGATCTTCACTACAACACTGTGTGACACGATCTCGAAACCCGTGAGCAGTGTCAGTTCTTCTAAGATTTTCAGATATGCTCCGCTAACTGAAGAATACCAAATAGCATGAAAAAGGCATTTGAAGGCCATTGATTTTCCACCAGTGAATGATGACTTGAGTGGTTTTTCTAAGAAAACATCCTGTTACGGTTTTGCTTTGTTAACACAGAGGTGATAGATACAAAACATAAACTTCAAGGTTAGAAATTTTCCTCGGTATGCTACAGGAATATTCTGATTAAATGTTTTGAATGGTAGCTCAATATAACAGGTAGTGAATTCACCTGGTCGGAACTATTCAAACAAGCAGACCTTAACTGGTAACGATTCAGTATTTAATTTAAGCTTGTCTACTCCCACTATTTCGTCATAATTGCCTTCGAATCATTGGTCATGTATCGTGGAACAGAGGGATTAGTAATATCTAGGTCGGAAGTAGGCAAATATACTAAGTCAATTGATGAGGCTATGAATTTCCAGTAATTGAGGTCACTAAAACATATATTGCATATCCACAACCATTATTTATTTCGATACCGGTTGGGATAAGAGTAGGCTGAAAAAGACCTAGGAGTATCTAAATCAAGATACTGCACAGGTCTATGAAACCATTAAATAGCGGACTATGTCATGTTGGTAAATGTATGCTATCCGGTGGGGGTTTATGAGATAATCATGTTGTGTGACATGAGTTAAAGTTGGTAACCGTCGGCGAGATATATTCACACCTCGTCTTCCTCCACATATTATGTTTCGGTAATCTTTCATACGTAACCTTCAACTTTTAGTAACATCGAAATTACTACAATTTTGACTTCTTCACTATTCCTCTGGTTAATTTCAAATAGTTGCGGTAATGTACCTTAACCCAATGCATACATGTATTAGTTCTATGTTGTTTATGACCGGCCGAGTCATTTCAAAGTCATATAGCTGTACCAATATATCCTCTTGATATTATTTCCATCCAATTTATGAAATCATTCTCGCAGAAACCTAATCAATATTCACTGGGCGTTATTTACTTGTATCTTCCCATTGTTATTTAGGACTACAACTGATCAGTCTCTTGTTGGTATATGTGCATCCTGTGCGGATTGCTTTGGGATAGCCTGAAGTCACAAGCTTTATAATCAAAGATGGATAGCGGCTAGCAGTGGAATCCACGGCGCGCGTTTCGTCCTCGTCAGCTCGATGTACCTGCATCTCAGTGTTGATATTCACTCTGGAACTCAAATCCTATACCGTTCGCTTCAAACGCCATCGCGTTTTCCACTTAGCTACTGAGTCTTCAGGCAATATCGAGGCAGTCCGCACAGGATGCACATATACCAACAAGAGACTGATCAATTGCAGTCATAAATAACAATGCGAAGATACAAGTAAACAACACCAAGTCAAAATAATTTCACCCCGTTGCACAAGTAAATGGCTATCAGGACTCAGTACTTAAATGGATAACGCTATGGTGTTTGAAGCCAACGACATTGGGTTCGAATCCCAGAGTGGACATCAATTCTGAGATAGAGGTAAATCCAGCTGAGTCCGAAATAAGACTAAATGCGCGTCGCGGATTCCACTGCTAGCCACTATCCATCTTTACTTGTAAACTTAATTAATGTTTAGAAAAATTGATTAACCTCAATGAGAGTAAATCGATTAGATGAATCCGAATCGATATTTTATCATGATTCTGTATCAACCAGCATCTCAAATAGAAAATTATTTATAAAATCCCAGCATTTATGATTTGCTTTTCTCTGTTGTATAAAATAACAAAGTTAGTTTCCAATATAGACTGATGGTAACTAAATATACTTTGTGAAACCCAAAAACTGTTTGGTCAGTAAGATAAAAACACTTAACATAAAATAACCCATGGATTTTAATACCACTTAAGGAATTAAGAAGTCATACGTATAACAGAATGAATGAATTTTCAATGAACCAACACCAACTTACCCCCTCCCCCCCCAAAAAACACAATAAATGTATGAAAATACACATAAACCAGAAAAGAAAACACACGTACACAAATATAGATCCAAGAATAGCTATGAAAGTACTGAAAAGAAATAATCGAACTCCTTATTGAATTCAATAATGTAATTATTGATATTATTGAAATTTATAAGGCAAATAATATAGACATTAATATAAATATACACTGAACGGCAAAAGTATGTTAAGATCCCAAGAAAAAAAAACGAGCAGTTTTGAATCGATGAGAAACACGAAGAATTTGTGACTAAAAAGCCTGAAATATCATTTTTATTATTAGAGATTCAATAGAGTAGTTGTATAGAGTGACTGTTGCACGGGGAAGACATAAGATTGGCGTTTTGTTTTTATTTTATTCTAATCTCTTTTCTTCCCGAAAAACACATGTTTACTTCAATCGTTCCATTTGAGCAGACAATTCTTCAGTCCTTTGTCTGCATTCACTGAAATAAGTTCGTTGAGCTGCTACTAATTCTTTTAGTGCAATCATATTAGAGTCCTGTGAAAACAAAAACATATCAATCCGATAAATAAACGTCATTGAATTTACTGACAATGGGTATAGAATGAGATTATTTGTAATCCGGATATATTCACTTGAAAGGCAATGAATGATAGATCTGAATAACATTCACATCTCAACAGGTTGTTAGTATTCTTAAGATATAGGCTAATGTTACGTCAATCACACCGGATAGTTAAGATGCTAAAATCTTTACCGGTTTCAGACGGCAACCATAAAATCTTAAGCTAAATAGTAGTAAAATATACAATATTTCAGATTTTGGTCATCAGGTTAACATTCTTCATATCTTTTAATAAGTAGAACTATGAATATGAATACATAGGGACATTAAATAAAAGTGGTAAACCCGTTTTTAGTTTTGTTTTTATTTGGCTTCTAATGATTCATTATTGATTGGATTATGCTAACAATCTTAACATTGATTCCAATTACGAAGTTACTAGTAGAACGATACTAACTACGCAATTAGAAAAGTTTATACAAGAATTAATGCACTCTGTAAACGCAACACAAATATACTTTAATCAAACTTGTATTAAGCTCTCAGTCTGCTATAACTGTGACGGCAGCAGATTAGAGGGTAGAAAATTATTGGTCGGACCAAAGACGTGCAAACACGTAGAACGGCCTCGGATATATAAATCATTATATTTCAAACACATTCTGTTTATATACTAATCAAGCAGACCACAACGTACCATAAAATAGAAAATAACATTGTACAATATTGACCAGTAGGAAAATGACACGTTAAATGAATATTGACCAATGGGATGACACCCTTTTCATGTCCAAGGATAGCATTAGGCTTAACAGAATAATTTTTGGGATATTTTTCTGAATATCCCAACACAATCACGCATGACTCAACTAACGCGAAGACAAAAGAAAGCACAATGTTTCATCCTCGCTCCAACCAACCATGATATATAGAAAAAAGAAAGGAATTTACACATTTTTTTAAAAGTGTATTAGCAGGAACTAACCATTCCAAACGTAATTTTTACTATCCATCATTCAGAAGTGTCTCAAAAAGTCAAAAATGGTGACTATTAAAAAAAACCTCTTTACTTTAACTCATTTAGACAGAATCTTCGAGAAATAATTCATTTCCTAATATGGGTCATTTTGTCCATACTGTAACAAGAAAATTTGTACTATTTTTCAAAGTGAATTAAAAGATCTAATTAATAAGAACACCCCCGCCCTCCCAAAAACGACAATTTCAAATTCATACATAAAATTAGTTATCAGTATAGGAGTTGTGGAGATTATCTAGTTTTTGATTAAGATCATGAACCGATTGATATTAGACCCCCATTGAAAACCTGGAAGCACTGAACGGTCAATTCGTCCTATTGTGGGACTCTTCAGTAGTGCCCTGGGTTTGAATCCCGCGAGCGGGATCGTGGACGCGCACTACTGAGAAGTCCAAAAATAGGACGAAACAGCATTCCAGTGCTTCCAGGTTTACAATGACGGTCTAACGTCCATCGGTTCACCATCTTAATTAAAAACATAAAATTGATTGTTTTGATTAGAAGTAAATACTTAACTGTTTGATTACTGAACTATTAAACGATTAACAGGTTATTAGTAAGTATAATAAGTTAATAACTTTAATCTTTTGAGTATTTCTTTTAATGACAACAGAACACTTTACCTTTTTTTACATGTTACCAATCAATCGAGATTTACTCGATATTTCATATAACTCTAATTCAGTCATAACTATGTTGAAAGCACATAGAAGTAAGTCATGAATCTTATATATTTTGTGAAAATGTGCATATTATATATTATGTGATTACAATCTGAATTGAAATTAAAGCATAGTGTTAGATCCTGAATTTATCGATTACTGAAAGATAAATTTACTGTTCTTATTTATTTTGTTCAAATCAGCTCTGTAATAACAATCTAGGGACAACTTTATTGAATTGTTAATTATAGGCAAAAAAAGGTGTTCTCAGTTTGTGCTAGGTTTGAAGCTAACACGAGTTCACCTAATCTATGAACGAGAAACAAGACTCAGTGACCAAAGACCAGTAAGCTAGCTATTTGATGCGTCCCAGCCCCAATAACTAGAGGGAGAAGTCCAAGCTTGGAATGGGAAGTATATTCTGAAAAACAGCCAGAAACGAGCGATAATAACAAACACAATTCAAAACGTATATATACAGTGCAAAACCGTCCTTGGGGAGAGTTACCAAATAGCATACTAAAAGACGCAACGGACCAATAGCATTTAAGATATTTCCCAGTGGGAAATACGACATGAGGGTGACAAGAGAGCCTTTAGCGCGGAAACAAGGAAATCAAATTTTCTAAATAAAATTACGAAATTTTTTGGTCAAACTAACTATATTGTCAAAAAAGATTACTTAGAATTTCAATTAGACGTGAGTAATATGTACGTATGTAATGAGTGTAATTCAATGTTGTATACAATGTGTTAAGGTTTATTAGTAATCCACAAACAGTACAGATGGATAGTTGCTAGCAGTGGAATCTAGGACACGTATCTCGTCCTATTTGAGACTCGTCAACTGGATGTACCTGCATCTCAGAGTTGATGTACACTCTGGGACTCGAATCCAGTGCCGTTCGCTTTAAACGCTATCGCGTTTTCCCCTTGCTACTGAGTCCTGAGCCAACATAAGACTGATCAATTGTAGTCCTAAATAATAATGAGAAGATACAAGTAAAACAACTTCAAGTGAGTGTAAAGTACATATTAAAGTACTACCCAGCTAAAATACAGTTTTGTTTACATTGTTTATAAAAATGGTTTAATAGTAATAAAAATAAGTGAATACTTTCACTGACTTACATTTACCGACTTGACCTGCTGTAGTTTAGCTCTAGTTTTTTCTAATTGTTTATAAAGAACGGTTTTAGCGTCTTCCATTTTTGTCAAAGTCTGTTTAAGAAAAGAAGATTGGTGCTAATGAATAAGTTTGTGATGATAAAAAACGAAAGTTGCGCATAATGGAAGACATGGCGGACAGTTTTGATTATAATACTATAAAAGTTAATCATTGTTCTTCCATTTATATGCAAATATTTGTGTATGTTTTTAAATGAAATCTGACGGTCACTGGTTATTACTCTGAAGGTTATTTTTATTCATTCTTGGGAACAAGAAAGGTGGTAGAGCTACTGATCAAAACATTAGTGAAATCAGTAATCCTAATCTTACTGGAAAAGATCAATCTAAATAGGATAAAGATACTACAAATGTAAAGACGTTTTATTCACGCTTCATTTTTTTAAAGGACGGTAAAAGCTACTTAAATCGACAATTCATAGAGTTAAAACAACAGAAAGATTTTTGTATCATAGATGCTGACAAACAATGTTTTGTCAATAATTTTATTCTGAAACCATTGACTTGTTGAGTAGATCATAAGTGTTTGAAACTATGTATAAATAGGAAAGCTTTCTTACTGTCTACCTTGGATTGAAATGTATTCTAACATTTCTCTGAAGTTCAGTTTTTTGTTATATCTAGTCATGGAAACTCCACTGTTATGTGATGATCAGAAGTATACTTCGAACACTTCAAAAATAGGCATGAACATCAAGTTCACTGAAAATATCATTCATGTGTAAATAATTCAACCATAGCGGATTAGGCATTCTCATCTGAAAAAAAACTTTGAAACGAGAATACTATATCTTGGTTTGAGTGACAATCGCGATCAGTTTTGTGCAAATATCAAATCAGCCAAGTATGATATTCAAAACAAAATTATGATGTTTGTTTTGTGCTACTCATATTCAATAAGTAGTGTAAACATCGTGTCTCAGAATCCATCACTTGGGCAGTAAAAGTAGGTCAAATCGATCGAAAAAATTCCAGCTATTGTGGTGCGTGCTACTTATATTGATATAAGTAGTATATGACGCGAGTCAGTAATGTAATGTCTGGCAGCAGAAGATGGGGAAGATCAAGAAAGGAAGAGCGGGAATAGAAAGCAACTAAATACAATTCGGTTGTCCTCACCTGTGTTCTCCTTCACTACACTATCACTAAAATCTGGATCGGTAGCCTCAGAGATAGACAAAACCTGAAAATTCATGAAGTCATTATCTTAAAGTCTAAGTTCAAACAAACAATGAAAAATACCATCTAGACTATTCATAAGATTGGTAGCCAATACAAATCTTTAGAAAGATTTAAAAAATAACAATAAACAATGGCAACTCTACAAAGTATAACAGAAGTTATTATTCATTTTTATTCTTTTAGGAATGTTCACACATTTTTGTCCAGATAATGAAAGTCACATGTGAATATACACAGACTTGTTACCAGATAGGGAAATCAAATGTATATTTTATGACATGAAAAATCATACCTATTTATCGATTAATTCTTAAAAAAGTGCGATTATATGTGATATTTAACATAATTGGCTGATTTTACTATTTGAACAAACAGAAGTCAGTGATTTATGTAAAATCACGAAATTGAAATCATGTAAAATCTATCTCCTGGTGGGTGATTTTTTGTCGAATAGATATAAACGTTTGAATAAATTTTAAATTCCTTTTGAGACATCAACCATATGGAATTTAAGGAAATCTCTTGATAAATGAGTTACTTAGACCACGTAGAGAGAGTTGTTATAATACTAACTGTTAGAATTCATCACGTACAGATTTATGTACTTTGGTTTGAATCACATTGTTTATATGAGAGCTAGTAATACTACGACTGTTGAACTATAGTTTATTCGTTAAGGGCTACCAATTCCAACTATTAGGTACACAGTTCGAACCCGATCACAAATATCTTTAGTTCGGGAAGCAGCGTACTACCTCTAGCTCTAACTCCCAAGGTGTGGATCACAGTACATAGCTGTGTAGTTAATAAATTAATTACATTAATAAATACTATTGTGTCGCTTAAATCGAACGAAAGAAATATCATCAACGGTACTTCTACACATTCCGAACTAAAGTGGTATTAATTAAGATAAAAATTAATAGATTTTGCCAATGACTTGCCAGAAATCATAGAAAAGTAAGTACAAACAAGATACATATTCTTTCACATCTCTTCAATGTACCAATTTCAGTCGCCGCTTTCATTTAACATGACATTGATGTGGTGCATAAAAAGCTTATTTAATCTTCAATTTAATCAGTACTGTTATAAACAAACAGACAAATCACGCCAATACTGATCATTGAAAATTATTTGTGCACCACATATTATACAAAAAAATCAACAGGGGATTACCGAGTGCACATTGATATATTTAGTAATGTTTTATGTTACTGGAATATTTGTATTTTTGTAAATAAAACAACTGACCGACTAATTCGTTTTATTCTTATAACGAATTATAAAGAAAAACCAAGTTATTGTTAATCATATGACTGGTGAAATCTATACACCATATATCAAACAAGTGCCTTAAAATCATGTATATGTGAGCTAAGCATATTTTAGCATGTGATTAGTGAATTAATTGGTGTGTAAATGATAGATCAGTTATACAGGGTGTTAACATATCCCTCTGACTGATAATCAACTAATGTTTCCATTAACAAACCATAACAATCAAACAAAACTATGTTTTCATATAGAATTTCAAAAGTAATTGAATATCTTTTATAAACTATTTATAGTAAGATAACTCAATCTGTCATTATAAATTTATGACTGCCTATTTTAGAACGAAAAAAAAACAAGTCTAGAATAAGGTTTACTTCAGCATCTGGATGTTCATTATGCTTCACTTTACTTCTTAATTTATCATAATCCAAACGATACGACTCCAAATGACTAAGTTCTTTCTATAAAAAGATAAACATATAAAGGGGTTATCTTAACATAATTATTATAGATAAATGTCTATTAGAGTAAAACTCAAAACCAAAAATGCATGTTATTCAGTTGATAATAGTCTATGATACAAACCATCTACAAGATAGTTATTACTTACACAAATTATATAACCAAACAACTAAAATTAATTTGGACATCTCCGTAACTGTCTACAAACACATATTTTATGAGAACTCGAATATTACCGTTTGTTATAAAGGTTAATTAGACATGATATTGCTAAAAAATGCAGATAAGTGGGTCTGATGCCAGTTTTAGTTCAGAATATACTTAGATATATATTGTTAAAATCGCTTCATATCTTTAAAAGTACTAATTCTTTCTTCCTGCAGTCTTTCTTTTAAATATTACCACCTCTGAATTAACTACTTCTATGAATTCAGTGTTCATCTTGTTGTGCTAATGCGGTATGACAACTTGAACCGGTGCATATATGTGCCTGCTCCTACGTTGTACTTGAATGACTGACTGACTGAGATGTATGTGTGGAAAATGTGTCTTTTTCGACAAAATCGATTAAGAATGCTTCTTTTTCACAAGAACACAAAAATCTTCTTCAAATAGTTATAAAATTTGATTGATCAAAAGAAAATCTAAACTTTACTAAGCAAGATCTTCAATAAATGTATTTTTATTAGTCTTGAGAATAATTCGATTTGCTGTTTTATTACTTCTTCGGATTACTTTTCTTCCCTAATAAATTTACACCCACTATTCATAGTGTGATTTGATTTTTGTCCAAAGTTTTAAGCTCAAAAATGTTTCAATGTTTCATCTATCTTGTTGTACAGGCTTACTGAGAAGAAGTTGAAATTTATTGTCATTCTGACGAAGGTGGATATATGTAAAATATACATCAATTAAGGAAACGACCAAGCTATTCATAAATCCTATTACACTAATTTAAAACCAAGTAACAGTTATAACTACAAGATCTAGAAGAATGAAATTTGATAAAACTAGTTAGTAAGCATGATCTTTATTTCATTGTTAGTAAAGGTTGAATTGTCCCATTGCTGATAAAGAGGATCAAATTTTCACACCAGAGCTCAAACCTAGTTAACTTCTTCAACTACCATTCCGTTATTCACTGACCTACTGAGTCCCGATAGCCACTAGCTTGTGTAACGAATATAGTTTTCATATTATCATTGTTAAGGATTTAGTTATTTGTAATCAATACTATATTACTTCTATGGAAGAATGGCTTAATGATTAAATTACTCAACTTTTAATCAGTGGACTACATGATCGAACCCCAACTCATCAGCTTTAATTTGAATAACCGGATAGTAGTATCACAAATACTACAAAAGTTTAGCTCAAAGTTGATTACATGAATTCATACTTGGCATATATGCAGGGAAAGAAGCCTATTTTTTTCAGTAAGTGACCTACAAAATCATCACTGTACAGTTTAACGTTTTGTAGATAAGTGATATTTTACAGGGAATAAAAAAGATTTTAATGAAGAGTTGTTTAATCAATCAACATTTGTTTAGTTGAGAGCTTACATCAATATTTTTCACATTAGTGATTAATCATGATTACTTGGTCACATATTCAATCAATATGGATAATTGATTACAAGTTCACATGCACAACAATTTTTCATTTTACTGAAGAGTCATAACGGTAAACATTTTTGGATAAGCTTTGTGCTGGATTTAATATAAAGGATACAACACTTTGATTTTATTGACTTGTACAAATAAACATTAGACTTATGCGAATATTTTACAGTACTACAGATCATTCGTCAATATAATGTGATACATGTAATATACAAGAATATAAACCAAATGAGGAAAAAAGTGTTAACCATCTATTCAAATGAAAGCATAACATCAGTTAAGTATAGTATACAATAAATAACCTTATAAATGACCATTTTATTAGCTTAGATAATATGGCATTGCACTGCTAGATAGCCTAAGGCTCGATATTTGCTTTTAAACCCAAACGTTACATAGACAGCAGCTTCTCATAGAAATATCGTTAGAACTTACTGCGATTTAATTTTATTGTAGCGTATATTAAACTAAATCCTTTCATGAGTTCATCATAGAAATTACGTTCGATTTTTGTCGCATCTCCAAAATATCAATTTAGCATCAAGATGAGTTCCCTAATGTCCTAGTAGTAAGTTGTTACTTTTTGTAAATTCACCCAACTTGGAATTAGGCCCAGTGACTTATCGAAATCCTGAATGAGTACAGAATCACTAAATTAGTGAAAACCTTTTTGGTTAATCTCCACAGTTATGTGACGATGACAACTGATAATAAAATCGAATAAATTATAGATGATTTAAGATAAGTTAGTGATGCAGATTTTTTAAATAGGGATTAAAACTAGTTGATAAATAGCAGCAACTCTAAAATGCATAGTTATTATTTGGATAACAATTGATGTACTTAACATTAAAGTACAAGAAGGAGGTTTGTAGCTAAGTTCGGATAGCACTGATGAATCACTACTGCTAACACAAAAAGTACAATTCAAAGTAAAACACATAGAAAACAATAAGACTAATCTCTCTTCAACAGTTTACTCTAAAATCATGCATTGTTTTGACCGAAACTTGCTTTGACTGATGAAAGTCAAATGTTAAATATTTGTTCATTTTGTCTATGTTGAACAATGTAATCTTCGTCAAAACAATGATAATTTAGTATAGTTTATTTGGTCTCACTTAAATAACAAATATGCTCATATGACTTGTATATTAGACTGTATAAATTTAAGAAATTCTGACATCTTTTAAGTTGGTTAGTTTTTAAAAAAGAAAAAAAAGAAAACTAATTAATAAGTTACAAAACAGAACATGTTTAGAGAAAAAAAACATACAGAACACACTTCAATCAATAAATCATATGCTTCAGGAGGCTAAAAACGTAATTCATTGTCTAAGGTCAATCAATAATGATAACCATTGTATACAATCAGAATAAAAAAAAAGAAGAATCTAATCATAATCAGTTTTCAATTGCATGAAATTCAATTATTGACAAGTTAGGAAATCGATTAATTGAAAATCAGTGAATGAAGTATATTTCATTGTTGAATATAATAAATATTCTATATTAATATGAATAATTAAGAGAAAAAAAACATGAACATATGCGTATTGATTAGATATAGTAACTCAAGAAAGGAACTTAACAAAAGAGGATTAATTGTAAATGTTTTTCAGAACATATATATTAGGTAAGTTAACATATACATGAGTTCACTAGTGAATTCTATTTAAAGTCAGTCAGTCAGTAACAACGTAGAACTTCGTACGTACGTGCACCAGTTCGAGTTGCCATACCACATTAGCACAGAGATGCAGTTGTCGATTCAAATCCCGTAGTGGTAGAGGTAGTAAGAGTATAAGCAGTAATCGGGAAGATTGTGGTTTAGAGATGTTATTTAAAGAGTGTAATACAGTGAAATAAATTTGGGGAGAGAAAAAAGAGACAAGGAGGAATCAGGAGATTAAAACTTAGAGAACACAAAGAGTGTATGCACCTGCGCCATTGCGAACGATTTTGAGCCATGTCATTCAGGGTCTCTAACCATCGGTTGCTATCATCTCGCGATCCCCAACCATTTAGTTTACACCTACCGACATGACTCAGTCCACTTGTCAGTGACTTCATGGACTTGTGCCATGTTTTGGTCTGGCCGCCCCTAGCTTTCTTCCAACCTACTCCTATACCATTGAAACTTGGTATTCGATAAAAAAACAAACAAATAAATCAACAAACCAAATTGAACAATAACTTACTTGTATTTCAGGCCATTCAAGTGCCAAAAAATGATGTAATACACATAATGTTTTCTTTTCTAGTATCGCATTCCTTTGACTTTCAGCTGCAGCTATTTGACGACTGTACTCGCCACATTGTGACAATGCCACACCTAAAATGAAAAAAAAAGAAACACGATCAAGTTAAAACTTAGTAGCTTAGTAGCTATTGTTTTATATTAGGTATCATTTAAATTTGTTGAGGTACGATTCACTGTGTTATTGAGTCAATGGTATAATTCGATGATCAGGTAGTTGAATACATTCAATAAATAATAATTGTAAATTATATTTCTAAGTCAAATATTTATTTTATGGATACGTATAGTATAATAAGCATTTATTTTCATCGAGCTGCGGCCTAATTATTAAATTACTCAACTTTTGATGCATAAGTTTTAGCCTCTCTTATCTACTTAGGTTTGGACAGATGAACACTAACACCAGTACTCATATAAACTTTACGAAAACTTGTAATTTACGTATGAACTGTATCATTATATCGTTAAGGTTACTTATCCCAAAAGTGAGTTGACTAAGAATGGTAGATGGTTATTTGCATTAATATTAGGATTTAACTTTGGATGCACGCAAAGATATACACTCGCTCGTTTTTGCTCACAAGTAATAAGCTGACTAATGGCTGGACTGAAACGATGTATAACCTTAAACACAATAGTTTACCATTTCATGTTGTTACACTTTACATCAGTACAATTAATATGCGAAAATGTCGAAAAAATAGGAAAAACCGATACTGGTATTTAAAAATAATAGAAAAAATCCGAATGAGACAAATCGAGCAAGCAAAAGATGCGGAATCATAATACAGACACAGTACTACATAATCCTGTATAATTGTTTGAATGCTCACTAATCTGTATGTAGCTTAAGTTAACAATCCCCATGCAGTGGAATATGTTTCTGAAATTAGAAATAATCACTACAAGGTTTCATTACATTAACATTATAATGATCTAAAGTTTAAGACAAGAATAACGAAACTATCTAAAAACCGTGTAACCGAACCGTGATACTGATTACGTTAGAAACCATAATATACGATGGAAATTTGATTTATGCCAGTCATTTCGTATCATAATTTATATTTACATCGAGGATGTAAAAAATCTAGTTACCAAATAGTACAGATCATTCCAAGTTCTAATAGAATTTAATCGATAATATCTGTACATTTACAATGAAATTGTATGAAGCGCAATGTTAATCAATCGTCAAAGTGGAACTTAGGGTAACTGGGTATACAGTTCAAGTTCACAAAGTCAGGGAGGGATTGATTTCAATTGCAGTGGAAATTCAAACATGAGAAGCGCAGGACACAAAACAGAATGAAGACTGAAAAATAATGGGTTAGGAATTAGATTAATAGTATTGAGGAGCCACAATTAGAAACAGTTAGGAATGTGTACTATAGAAATTCTGAATATAAATGTACATTTTCGGAAAGTTAGCGCAGTTTCAAAGTTTGTAATGAATGACCAAAAAAACAATACATGTCAGCATTGAAAATTGTACTATAAAAAAGCTTACAAACAGATGTATCGGTGGAGAAAAAGTTTGAAATGTATGCATCAACGTTAATGCTGATAGCATATTACATAAAAGGAATAGAGGAAATAAATCAATTTCAGTCTCATCTGTTTACTTTATTTGATCATTACTATGAAATTGAATGAACTGATTCATTTTTCAAATAATTAGGAATTTCTAGAAGAACAAGCATGTCGTCTAATGATCATGTGATAGATAGGTAAGTAAATAACCCTTAATGGCGTTGGTGTATACACTCTCTGTCTTCCCTTAAAGTAAGAGATTAAAATCGCTTCATATCTTTCTTTCTACGAGCTAATTCTTTTTTCCTGTACTATATCCTTATGTGCAATCTTTCTTTTATTTATTACCACCTCTGAATTAACTGCTTTTATGAATCTGGTGTCCATCTTGTTGTGTTAATGTCTTACGGCAACTTGGACCGATGCATATATGTGCCTGGTCCTACGTTTTGACTGACTGACTGATTGAAATAACCCTTATTTGACTATTTATACTTACTTGAAATAAAATCAACTCACATTTTGTCTAAATCTAGACGTTTTTGTCCAGCTCTCTAAATATCTGCAAATTATTTGGCTCATGTAGTTATTTATTTTAAATTGTAACACATGAAACTTTTCTGTGTTTTTTTTCATTATTTAAATCAAATCAGTGAACGTACACAGGATGTGAATCATTGAAGTGGCGATTTGGAATAGTTCCTATTATCAAACTGATTGGAAGTGTGAATCCTGGTATGTTGCAAGTTTTCTTCAATCATGACTGACCGCTATACAATTGACACCTCTGTAGCATGATGGAGTGATATTTTTATCATAGAAAACTTATACTTTTTTGTAAGCCAGTAAAAATGACAGAACGGAAATACTCACTCTATCATGGGTAACAGTGGTGTAAATAATAATTACCGCTTCATTTTGGTTGATCTCCAGGTGCAAAGTCAAAATTGCAAACGAGAGTGCAGTTTAATCCCTTCCCCACTTACATATTCTTGTAATGGCTACTATCTTTAAAAAAAAAACAAGTTTACAGAGTAATTTATGTTAAATTTTCAAAATCACGTCATATTTTCAAGCCTCTAGTTCTAAGTCTGTGAGCATGACCATTATTCCAAAACATTAACTACATTCAGAAGAAATCAAGACCTAGTTTACATTGCACATAAGCAATAACAACAGAACTACATGAAATTTTAAAATACATTTTGTATCTCAATATCGATTCACTTAGACTAATCTATGAATTAAAGGTTAATAAACAAAACGAAACTAGTACTAGTAAATAGGCTATAGGGTATATTTTAATTTGATTCAATGTAACTCACTAACCAGTTTTATTTATCTGACTTTAAATCACACTTTTTGTATGAGCTTTGGCAAAACTACACACTTTTCAAAACTTAACCAGAAAGAGTAAATTTTAAAACGTCAACCAAATGACAGACAACTAATTCAGCACTAATTAATTTTGGGCATCTAACAGGAGAATAAAAATGAATCGGAAAAGGCGGACTATATTAACGCTTAATTCAAGTTTTTTTTAATGGTTCCTAATTTGATCTATGCCATATATTAATTCATAAACAAGATGTTTAACATATTTAACTTTGAATAGATGTTAAATTAAATTTGAAAAATAGAAATGAATAAAATATACAACCAATTATAAACATTATAACAATGAATAGAGCCAGATGGTGGTAGATAACGAAAGAGGTGAGCACTAATGTTACAATATGCCAAGAAATAGGCAAAGGTAAGGAGAAAAGAAAAGAAGATGATAAATTTCAGGTCAAAGAATCGATTTATGCGTTATTTTTTTCTCTTTAAAAAGCATCATTCATTTAACATGAAGAATTCTCACTTCATTAACACAAAAATATTAATGAAATGAATGAAGAATAGTTTTTTCAATTAATGCCTACTAAAATAATGCCAGAACAAATATTGATGCAGAACAGTATGAATTCATATTATTTCGAGGTTTCTCGTCAGCTGCTTACAACCAAATATGTAATAGAATTTTATATTGAGATAAGAAATAGTATGGGACAATTGACATAAATGAATGTAAATAACTGGAATGACAAAGGTTTACAATGATAACTATATATATATAGGTTATTAGGTGTTATAATCAAGGAAACATTAAGGATGGATGGTGTAATAGCTGGGTGGAGTTCAGAGACAGATAAGATAAAACTGTTACACCATCACTCCCTAATGTTTCCTTAATTATAACACCTAATAACCTATGACCTGTTCTTGCATATATATAGTTATCATTATAAACCATTGTCATTCCAGTTATTTACATTCATTTATGTCAATTGCCCCATACTATTTCTTATCTCAATATAAAATTCTATTATATATTTGGTTGTAAGCAGCTGACGAGAAACCTCGAAATATTATGAATTCATACTATTCTGCATCAATATTTGTTCTTGCTTTATTTAAATTCATAAAGGGAACTAACTGCATGAAATTTTTGTAATGCCTATTAACTTCTACTGTTAGAAATCCAAATGAATACTTCAATGAGATAGACAATTTCATAGGTGAATAGATCCTTTAAGTATTTACAATGTATAAATTTAACATGGACAATAAAATTTAAATTTATGTTTTTAAAATGGTTAGTGTTTAATATAGAATGTAAAATGAATTTATTGAAAAGAATATACTTTGTTCAGGTTATTAATTGTTATACAGTTTGACGCATTGATTTTAACTTGTAGGGTTTGATACAAGAAATACATAAATGGTAATGTAGATCACCAACGTAAATGATCTATGTCGAAATGATTGGAGGCCTACTCGAGTTAGACGTGAATGGTGTGACAAACTAGCTAATGTCGAAGTCACACCTCGTGGTCAGCACCTCACGTGGACTACCCATTGACGTATCAAGGTACCATAGATGCTTTGAAGACTGTACAACGCAGAGGACGTTATTACAGAAATATATTAGTTTAAGTAGATACAATGGGAAAGTAAGACCACTGCTGCATGGGACAGTCCATGGCATACGACTAACTGATGCGCGTTGGTTGTCCCTGACCTTGACGAGGATCGATGATTTGCTCGATATTCAATGACCCAACTCCCGGATGATTTGGCTAGGGTTTAGTGACATTTCACTGGCCCTACAGTAAATTATCAGATTAGAAAATGTGTTTCATGAAACGTGGATTTTAGTAATTAACCATAGAACTTATTCATATATTACATTGACTGTTAGTCAGTTTTAGTTATCATAATTTGTTTAAATTTCAAAATTGATCCATTCCTATTCAAATGTATAAATAGTTATTATGGCAGTAATCTAAACAATAAATAGAGCTCCATTCTTAATTCTATATAAATAAATTCTGAATAAAGTTTAAAAAGAATAATCTGAGAACAAGTGAACATTGGTGCTAAACACTTAATGATTTCTAAGCAAAGATGGATAGTGGCTAGCAGTGGAATTATTTAGTATAATAATATAAATACTATAAATAATTACTATCCATCTTTGCTTATAATGCTTGTGAATTAAAGCAATATCGAGGCAATACGCACAGTATGCACATATGTCAATAAGAGACTGATAAATTTCAGTCCTGAATATCAATAGGAAGATTCAAGTAAACCATACCATGTGAACTTTATGATCTCTGTTGAAAACTGACTTTTCCAATGATTAATTATTTCTAATTTTATACAAATGACTATAATATTTTTCGGAGATTGTACTGAAAATGAACAACTCAAATCTAGAATAAATGTAAAATAATAATATCAAAAAACCTGATATTATTTAAACGGTCCAGCTGTACATAAAGCACAAAACAATTCATTATGGTTCTTAGTGTACCCATCAGTTTACGCGCTCGAATGAAAGGAGAACATTTTGTGTATATGGAATAAGTTCTCAGTACTGATCACAATAAGTAGATTAAATCGAGAATAATACGGCTATTAGCATTTATTAAAACATATTTTTTATAATCATTTAGTATCCTACTTTGTAAAAGTCGGTATACTGACCAGAACTTTTAAAATCCAACTCAGCAAAAAAGAACAAGGATGTAAAGCGTTGTTCATTTTTAAAACGAATTGTGATGGTTAAATATTCTCCAGTTTATAATGTTTTGTGATATGAAGGGCAATAACTAAGTTTGAGACTCAGGTCATTATCAACTTGTCCAGTAAGTGCTTTTTTTCTAAATTTGTATCTTCTCATTGCCTTTTTTAAATAAATCCCAACCATGTTTCATCTGTGTTCAATATTTTGTTCCAAAAAATGTTAACCAACTAGATAATTTATCGACCGGCCAATTGTAATATCTTTTGATGACAATTCATTTGAGTGCTTAAATCGAAAAATTGGTACTGATGGTATGTATCAATCAACTATATGGTAAAACTAAGCGTCATCTATTTGTCAGTATTTTTTTATTATTGAAAAACGTAGAATCTAGTGCTCATAATTAAACATCAAAACTCTATCTTCACAAGAGTTCTCAAACTAGCTAATGATGAAACCTATTGATTTAGAGCCGTCCATAGTTCATTCACTTACCAACTCACCAATCAATCACCAATGATTGAACTGTGCATTAAGCAACAGTCACTATGGAAAAGATTAGTAGTGGCACTACGCTACTAGAATAAATATTGTAAAGAGCAGACTTTGACCTGACAACATGCTGGTTGAAAAAAACGATTCAAATCATGGATTTATCAAGTCGCAAGCAATCAGTAATATAGCTCCATTGTAAACGATACACAATGTGGATTGCAGATCACATGACGGCAACAATTACTTTCGTGAAAAAACGCCTACTATGTATGGATTAGATAATTAGGATCATTAACTGTTTGAAATAAAGGCTGAAAAAAGTTTAGTAATTATTAATGTATTGAGGGTATAATTGTTTATGAATACTGTTATTATTATTCCCGAAATCTAATTTACTTCCGGAAAATTTATTGATTTGTCTTAATAAAAATCTATTTATCGTGAAATCTTAGCGTGAAATCCGTACTCCTAATTAATTTTAAACTTGTATTTCTGTTTGATTCTATATTTTACTACGGTTCGTAAAAACGTAGCTTATAAGGGAATTTATGGTCACTTAAATGTAACTCAACTGCAAACACATTGGTAAAACTTATTCGTTCAGAATATTGGAAATTTGCAACCACTAGTCTTTGATATTAATCTATCAGCTAACCCATATTACTTTGAGTGTTTGTTTTTGGTTGAAATACTCGCATAATTTGCTTCTCAATATTGAACCAGTATTAGGTTTTGTATTAAAAAGGCTGACTAAGATGGCATGGTAACTTTAATGTAACAAATAAAGTAAGGTGGCCTTATTCATACTGATTCTCAACTGATTTTACAAAAACTGTTATTTATTTTTTGATTGAAAAGTTTAATGAATACATGGCCAGTTCTGCAATACTTATTAAGCTAGATAATTCTTTATCTTCATTTGAAAAACCAGGTACATTCTGAAAAACTTAACTAAATCATCAAGTACAATCAACAAACATATCTTAGATCATATTATAACGTAGAACAAAAAACTGCTATCGTGTCAACTTTATCTAAATACAGTGTCTGAAAATTTAGATATGTGATAAAAATCATTAGCAAATTACTTATCTTTCACACTAGTTAACATGGTTATAAAATGGCAAGACTTATTACCACTTACCTTTCGTGACACATTTAATAACATGTTTTCCCAAAATTATATGAATTCAACTACTTCTAATGTCCTTTATCTTTTATTAGTGAAGAGTAAAATATACCTTCAATTCCATGAGAAAGTGATTCTACAGTAAATTAATAGCGTTTTTCTAGGTGCATAGAAAAAAGTGGGGCAGACGTATAAAGTAGAAAGTGATAAACTCTTCTTGAGCTGTAATAATGATTAAATATTACAACACATGCATCTCGTAAACCATGATAAGGATTTAAATCAACAGTACTTGTTTTATCTGAGATGCCAACTGTCAGCACTAATAATATTATGATATATATTTGGCCGTCACGATACAAGACACTGTACACATTTCAGTGGGTTATATTTACTTTTTATTCATTTATTGAACCTACGCTCCGGCGAATTGGTGGGCCGGAAAGAAGTAGACGATACTTTCGCCACCATAAATTTGAAATGTGTTCGCATTTTTAAGAGGCCTATTTGTTATTTATTTCAGGAAAAAAGAAAGATATTGTGACTATTAATGTACAGAATTAGTGTTTAATCAAGCGTTGTAAGTGACGTGGGGAGTTGTTTTCGTGACTATGTTTTGCGGACTTACCATATGCAGTACCAGCTCCGACACCAACAGCTGCGTTGAGTAGCGTATCTCCAAGATGTTCGGCAGGTAACTTTGCAGGAACCTTTAGCCAATAACTTTTGTTATCTGTGACCATACTTTCTACTTTGCAAGCTAAATGAAATAACGAAGTATAAACTCAATGATTTCATTTAAATTTTGACGAAATATGATAAATATTGCAGTGTTCAGGCATGTGGATTCACATACTAGACGATTCCTACGTTAATAGTATAAAAGTCATTAATACTACTAATTAGAGGCCTTAACCTTCATTGATGGATTGGTTTGAACTCCGGAGCAGAAATCCAATATTAGTACATACGCTATCAGCTAACATAGTGCTTTATTACTTGTCACTAGTGGAACACCAACACTTTCACTGTTGAGCATTTTCAGGAGGAAATGTAATATGATAGATATTGTATTCAGTTTTTTAAAAACCGTAACTTTGTCTAACTTTAAAGGTTACGTCTCTGTATGTTTGAATTATAACATGAGGCCAAATTATGGATGTCTACATTTAACTGCATATCCTCTATCAGAGAGAAACCATCAACTCAGCCATCAGGCTCATATTTGTTAAGATGTTCTTCATGCATCTTGAGGCCAGACGATGAACTACCACAAACCATGTTTGTATTCATGAATTTCATTTCAACACACTGTTTAGATATATGTATTTTCCAACAATTTTAACAAAATACAAAATAAGGAAGATAGTTGTACTTTTTGAAGACTGTTGAGAGGATTCCGAGACAGACTGGATCATAATAAACTTGGGAAACTCAAAATAGCATTATCCAATGTTGTTTTTATGGAATGAAAGTGACAGAAAAATTTCATTACCGGATTTATCTTTCCGTGTGGTCTTTAGTAGGTATTTCACAGATCCAACAATCTATTTTGATTTTAAGCTACGTCGTAAAGTGAATATCATTTAGCTACACAAATATCTATGTAAACTCATCAAAACATGGCAGTTAGTAAACGGTTGCGATGGTAACATCTTTTTCATTAGTGAATAAACCAAGACTAAGAGTTTCCACCTATATCAAACGAACTCTACTCTAAACGTGACAGGTTGGTCGTGCTGGGGAATTATGTATAGTAAAATAACTTTGAAAAATGGCACCTGCAGTCGGATCGACAAACAAAGAAAGAAATAATATAACATCAGATTTGTGACTTAAACTTTAATAACCAGCAAATAAATGAGGTCTGTATGCATACTACTCATCAAGGAATCGAAATCTTGACATTCTAGCAAAGTCAAAATTTTCCTTAAGTGCTTTTTTACTGAAACCAATTTTTCTCAAAATAAGTGACATGTTGAGCTCTCAGAGATCAAGACGGACGATAAACATGTGAGCAGAATATGAAAAAAAACACCATAAAAAAGACGAACAGCATACACTTATCTTAAGTTAACTGAAAAGTTATTTCTTAAGGATAAAATGAGTTTTTAAAGTGAACTGACCGACATCATCGAACTTTTTTACTATGAATAAAGAGTCATTAGGTTGCCGATAAAATGCAATTTACAGACACATGGGTTGATCCACTGCTCGATGGCCTCCATAATGTGTTTAGATACTTCATGTGTGGATTCTGCTTGCTTTAATAGTGAGACAAAATCCTCATCGAATTCTGTCTTTTCAGCTCTTCCTATGACTTCATTTGTTTTCTTGAAAAGAGGTGGCTAATTTTCAAATTTAAAACAAACCTGCAAAGCCCTATTGAGCTTTGTATTCGTAGTATCCAAAAATTTCTTCATTCCTACAAGAACACGTTACACTTTTGAGAGATGGACTTAAATCTACCAATGTTTATTGAGCAATATAAACAAAACAACTTTGACCATCAATAACAGTTTAAGGCATGAAAACATGTTTTCTTTCACATTTTTGATGATTCAGTTGCTAATATTATCTTTTCTTGGGTTATTCTGAAAATACTCCATTGTAAAAGATTGTTAGTTCAGAAAAGACACTAATCTGCAAGTCCTGTGTAAGTCCTGGCAATGAAGATCACTCAATCAATTCAGAGTCTATCAAACGGGCATTAGTTTATGTTTGCCGATGGTCTGATCGAAAAGTTGTTTATCATTTGACAATATATTTTTTCGGGGCTTATGTTACGTTTAGAAATCCTCTAATTAATCCTCAGTTCCTTCAAAACAAGAAAATCAAGGCTCAATGGTTTCTGCTGTTCGGTTGGAAGGATATTTTTTTATACACAAGTAGAATAGACTCAGATTATGTACTCACTTCTCACATAACATTATTATTCTGATTCAGTTTATTTGACATCCTTTATCGTGTGGTGTTAAATAAATACTCAAAATCAGTAGCTCTGTAAGTCTTCGACACTTGGTGTTGACTGTATTAGTTTTGCTGAGGCCACCTGGCTGAAGGCTCCCGTTCATGCATACACATCAGATCATGAGTGGGTACGCCCTACTTCACATCTCCTATAATTGCTACACCGCTTAGATTGATCACTTCTCGATACTATATCAAATTTATCTTCGAACCTCTTCGCTTCTAACTTCTTAGTCGATTGGGTTGGCATAATGCGCTGTCAAACCCCGAATGCTCATGATATCTTAAAACCATGTTCCGCAAATATCCGCAAAATAAATCGCTTCGTAAGACTCTGTGATTCATTCGTTCAACTGGATACACTCTAGCTCATCCTGATTTCTACGTTCGCTAGCATTTGGACCCAAGACTATCAAGATAATACGTACATCTGCTTTCTTAAGCATCTATCTGTGACATCCTTAAATTTTTTACAGCTCAGTGTCTTCTGTAGATAACGACTTCTTTGCTGTGCACACACACACACAAGAAACACGACAAAAAAATACCATGTCCAGAATCGTAGAATTAACAGTCGAATACGTAGATAGGTCAAGCTATGTGCAAAATGGTTGCGAATCATTTAGCATATATTATATGACTGATGATAACTCTTGTATCAATGTACGTTGGACAACTCATGACTAAGTGTTATTCACAGCGAATTTGGCCACATCTTCATGCCAAGTGATTGCAGCGGTAAGTAAATCACAAGAATAAATAGCCCTGTAAGTATTCGACATTGGATGTTGATCACATTAGTTTTAATGGTTTTAATGTTCAGTCATACATCCGCGCCAGATAACGAGAAGGAACGCTGTGCTCAACATCCCCTGCCATTGCTAGCCAGATTAGTTCAGTCGATTCACGATATATTGATAGCCTTTCAAGTATATCTTCGAACCTCCTCGCTCCTGTTTTTTGATTTCACTTGGTAGGTACGATTTTATAGTAGGAGGCATTACTGGTTAAATTGTTATCGAAACTCCAAATACCTGTGTTATCTTCATGTTCATCAAAATGTGATCGAAGACATTGTAGCCAATGAAGAACAGCTAAATCGTACTGACTTTTCCGAGACACAACACTATCCCTCCAATATTATAATAATTATGGCCCATAATAGAATCAGTAATGACGACAGGCCAGGAAAACCGCTTGCTTATACAACTGATTGAACAACTTATAAGACTATACCGTGAGTTTTTAGCGGTAATGGTTCTCATATACGCTATCCTTTAAGCCGAAAATAGATAAATGAGATTTACGTTTAAAGTCTAACAATTTATGATCAGAAATGGTGATCGCGAGAATACTTCTGATCGCTATTGAGATACATATACCGTCAATCCTCGTATATAATCATCGACTTAAATCGCATTAGTCAATAACGGAATTAAACAAGTCAAATACGAGAATGAATTTCGAATTCGGATATTCCATCCAATCTTTGATCCAGACAAAATATCGGAGAAGCAAAGAGAAGAGGGCAAGGCGAAATAACGCGCAGTGGAGAAGGCATGTGTGCCAACCCCATTTCATCAAGCGTTAATCAACATTTGTAGTCACACAAAAGTAAGTTACAGACATGTGATAAATAGTACTATAAGTGTACACACACATACGCTCATATAACAGCAGTCAAGGTTGATAAATGAATAATTACCAAGGTCGAAATGTGACTCAATTAGAATGAATAAATTGCCTCCTGATTCACAGTTGTACTAGAAATATATGAGACTCGGACACCAGTGAGTTAATATTAATTTTCACCGAAATTCGACAATTGCGCTTGTTAATATAAAGACAAGTTGCAAGGGTTAATGCCGTGCATCCATTGTTGAATGAGGGATCTGCTGAAGCGCTTTTAAGTTGTAGTGGCATTGAGCCTTAACTACACGATCCTCAAAGCTGAACACGGGACGATTGGGGAAATAGATATTCAACATTGAACATGGAGAAAACCCGATGGAGAAGGCGGGAACAATTAATTGAATTAGTTCGAATTGATCGGATGGCATGGCTTGGCCTTGCGGGCGTGGTCCCTGTTGAATGTTACCACATGTCTTTTATTCATATTCAATACATTGTTCTATCTCTAGCCTAAGCTTGTTCTCCATCATGTATTGGTGATTGTCACGATGCAATCAGATGGTGTACACGATGATGTGACTTCCAAGTAAGATCTTATAAATTAAGCAGTTATATCATGACAAACCTAAAATTTTAGGATTAGGTCTATTATTAGAGCACTACTAATATCATAGTAGGCTATAATTCTACAAAGTCACCCGATACCGTAACACGGGTTTTAAGTCAGACATAAATAGGTGCTCAAGAGCCCTGAGATGAAATTAATGATTTTAATTGCTTCTCTTTGGAATTACTTAAGCAGCGGCAAACACTAAATTATTTTTTGGGGTAACTATGGGTGATATGATCGTTCGATCGTCCTACACTAAAATCATCCCACGACGGAAATACCCTACTTGTGCTGAAATCTCATCATAAAACTTTTTTTCCCCAAAAATAATAAAATGAAAATCACATCTGAATAATAATATAGCTACATATCGACTATGAACTGGAAGTAAGAGGATTAATCAGAATATTTTGATGAACGGCCGGTAGTACTGTAGATAACCTCCACATACCAGATAAGTAATATTTAGTATATATACATGACTGTCGAGGACTAGAGTTTCTTAAATATCCTGTTTTTAGTGTAGCATCATTTCCACCCGTCACTGAATTAGTTCGTATGTTCTGTAACTAAACAAATCAACATAACTCCATCAGTCTCTTCTAGGAGGTGGTCGACATTACATCCATAGGTAGTCGTTTAGGTGCTAAACAATAACTTATTTGACGAATGATGACATTATGGCTAGTAGTTATCAACTTCCTTATATATGTAGGGAATGCATTCCTTACTTCTCCTTATGAAATCTGGAATGTTTGTTTGATCAAAAAGGACTAGCCAGAGTTCAATTTGCTCTCCATGTCAGTAGTAAACAGTAAAACCGAACTATTAAACCCCGTATTCAGTTTTTACCATCCAACTAAAGTGTGAGAAATAAGCTTTAACAAGCCAATCGTCAATTTGCGAATCATTTTATAAGCAATAATAATAAAGGTTCAAATCAATGTTACATAATCTGAAATAGGTCAATGATTACAAAAATATAGAAACTGAGATAACGATTATAAAATTATAAGATGACGTAATAAGAAATGTCCAGATAATTGGACCATGAAACGTATGGTTGAGAGAAAATAAAGTGGTAGAAGGGTGTGAAGAAAAATAATAAACGAAGAGAAAGTTAGAAAAGGAACAAATAAATAAATAAATTCATTTATTACTTAAGGCCAAGGGAGAGATAAGGGAGTTACAAATTTCTTCTGAACACAAAGACTTGGCTTGTTGGCTCGGATTCCTATAGCTTCTGCTATGTGTAGGAGACGAGATCGAACACCATAAGGAAAACTAGTGGGAATCCGGTAAATAACTTTGAACGACTTGTTTTTGCCCACTACATGACCGCTATCGATCAAGTGTGATAGAACCGAGCTGCGTATTGTTTTGACGTAACCTTTTCCTAACCACGAAGGGAAGTGTTCACTAACTCGTGGGTTCAGTTGCCTGGTAGTGCGCCCAATATAGCTTTCTCCACAGGAGCAGCTGAATTCGTAGATACACATAGAAGTGGCATAACCAGGTAACTTATCTTTCAATTGCGGAATCACCATCGATCGGGTCGAATACGATAGGCAGAGGTCGGCAGCATTAAACGTTCTCTTTACTGCTCTAGTCAATCTATCCCGTAATACATGATGAAGGTATCATCAACGTAACGACAGTAGAAATCCAGTTTATTGATAACCTCCTTGAGAGGTCCGTTTTCTAGTTTCGCCTGAAAAAAATCCGCAAGGATGGGACCTAGTGGCGAACCCATCGCTATACCATCAGTTTGTCTATAATATGTGCTATTAAAGACAAAATGGACATTCATTGTGCATTTTAAAAGTAATTCTTTAAGACTAACCTCAGGAATTCCAATATTGATTTGTTTTTCCTGCAGTTGTTGGCACACAAAATCAATAGTCTCTGTTAACGGTACATTGGTGAACAGGGAAGCAACATCTAAAGATATCATTCGTTTCCCATTTGAATTTATATGTTCCACTTTAGATATGAAATCGAAGACGTCTTTCACGCTTCTATTGACGACTAGTTTGTGTAAGGGGTTTAGGATACGAACTAGCCACTTTGCAGTTTTATGATAAGGTGAATTATACATATCTAAAACTGGGCGAAGAGGAAGACCTGTCTTGTGAACTTTAGGTAAACCATATAGTCGCGGTGTGTTCGATCCAGTAGGCTTGAGTGAGTCATGTAAGTCAGGGGTAAGAA